CCACGTTATATATAGTCCTCCTTTTAGCATCCTACATAGCTCTTCACTTGTAGATTCTAAGTACACAATCAGAGTCCTGTTTATACCCTTTTGGTCACATATAATATAAGTTTAGATGAGATACTAGTTGGGTCGCGGCTTCGAGCATATCATCCTTGTCGTCATCATCATTATATTCATCGCTAGCTTTCCATTACCATCTTCATCACTAACCTTTCCACTATCGTCTTCATCATTACCATCTTCATCGTCGTGCTCTTCATCATTATCTTCGTTCTCCTTAATTCAGTTCTTCTTACTCTGCAGACTGGGGATTCTTCAAGCAGTTTCCAACGTCTCTCCTCCTTTTCAAGCCTTTGGACATACCCTTTCACTGATGTTATTTGTATATACGCTGGAGCTTGTGAATCGTAAGTTATAATCGATCTAATCGTTCAAGCAAGTCTTCCATTGCCGGCGAATCTTCCTTAGTGATATCGCGATTGCCTAAAGTTGCCAATAGTGTCTTAGCTTCTTTCATCTGTATACTATCAACATTTATTCCTCCTTTCAAACCAACAAACCCTTTTGTGATCTTTTCATCGCGAGTTGTCAACAAATGCATTCTGATCGTCCCTTGCGGAGTGAAATCATATCGGTATATGTTGCCCGACTTAATTTTCCTCTCAGGGATGTATTGCTGGCTGAAGTTTTCCAAATTGTCTGCGTTGTCTATAATGAGGAGCCAGTTTGGTTGATATTCAATTAAGCTCGTACAGTATAGACTTAATACTTATCTTCGAGATCCTTCGAAATCTCAGCGATATTAGAAATCACTTTATAGTCATATCAAAGGCTTAAATAAGTATCTGCATAAACCCAAAATACCGAACACAAGCGCTACTCAGATCATCTATAAGCAGATTTAAGCGCGATTTGCGTTTTCCTATATTTGTTAGCTATCTTTCTAAAGAAAGTAATATAGAAGATCTTACCTAAATCCTCAAAGCTCTCATAACGCTGCTTGAGTTAATAACAATAAGATTTCTTTCAAAGCAGCAGAATTTTCATTGCGAATGACAAAAGCTCTATTTTGTGAAAATGGGATCTTTCGGAAAGGGGCTATAGCAGATTTTTTGTATTCAACTACATCTATATTTGCAAATACTTGAGTGTCTGAAATCTCTCACTGTGACATGAGTTGTGCCAATTACTGTTGGCCTGGACCGCCAATGTATAGCTGGCCTGAACCAGTATTGACTTATTGATATGGTTCGGTGCCCTTACTGACTGGTATACCGTATATCGCTGTTTGGCCAAAGACCTTCACATCGACTTATACATATTGCACCGTGATTATAGTAAGTTTCATAGCATCGACTGGAATAAAGCACAACCTGACCGTAACAGGTCCCATAGTTCGCTTCGGATCGAATCGAATATCACTAAATACCAAAACAGCGCTGCAGGATATCTACGCTGTCAATGCGAACAACGAGAAGTCCAAGATTTACAATTCCTTTCAACATTTCTTCAAAGTCCCATCGTCCATGACAACAATCGACAAAAAAGCTCACAGACTCAAACGGTGTGTTTATATCCGCGTTTTCGGCACTGACACAATCAATAGACTTGAGAAGCTTGTTTTATAAAATGTTTGTATCTTTTGTTTACAGCTGACTAATGACTCAAAATCGAAGAACAGTGTAGTTGATATACAGAGCTCGGCTAAACATATGACGACTTTAGGGGGATATATCACTTCTACGAGTAATCTCATAGAAGATACAACTTTCAGTCGAAGTTGAAATATGCTGGGCAGCGATCAGAATAATCAACATGGTAAGCTTACCTCATGAAATATTCAGCTAGAGGGAATATTACTAACCATTGTGTAGTCAGGCTACATGCCTCTCGCCCCCAAGCTAGATTTGGAGAAGCTTTTCTTCTCCAGTATGGCCGCGAAAACATACAAGTTCGAAGCCTCAAGTAAAGATCAATCAAGTTGGCGTGTAGCTCAACATTCGGCCGAACTTGAATATCGCGATCTGTTCTCAGCTTTACTTGAAGCTCGCGATCCAGAGACTGGCTAAGGCTACACCACGCAAGAGACATTGATTGCAGAAGCCGGTTTGCTCATTGTGGCTGAGTCGGAAGCAATGGCTACTGCTATTACATCCATGCCGAGAGCAGCCGCAAGAGAAACGAAGGCAAAGAAAAGAATGATCCATTCTGTCCAACGCCAACCCTTCCTTGGGACTACAGGACCACCAGTAAAAGGTCTATTCCGACGTCAGACAAGTATTTAAAGCTTAGATTTCAACTTACCCAAGTGCGGGACCTAAGTATAGACACAGCGCGCAAAGAGTGTAGCCGTTACAGCTCTAGACTCGGGCTTCCAGAGATCTGCATTGGTACCTGCTCCGACAACAAGTGGCGGGCTGCCGAAGATACCAGCAAGTAAGCGACATGCGACTAGCTCACCAAAGGTCTGCGAAGCTCCTGCGCCAACAACAAATGAAGCAAATAGAGGAAGAGAGATCATATACGTTGCTGTTCTACCAAACTTTTCGCTAAGAGGAGCCGCGAGAACAGGTCCAAAACCTAACCCGAGCAAGAAAAGACTGAAAGGAAGGAGAGCGGCTGTTTCTGAGACGTTAAAAACTTGCATTTCCGGCACCTCTGGCGTGTAAACGGATGATGCAAACGTCCTGCGGAGGCACATATTAGATGAGAACGTTCAAGAGGGTTCGCAGAAACTTGTTAGAACTTACACGGTCAGGCCAAACATTCCGATGAGAACTGTATGATAGACTTTCTTAGTCATAGACCAATTATATGGCTTTTTATCATCTTGATCCCAATTGACCACGACAGGCGGTGGTCCCATAAGCTTTTCGCCTGGAAGTTCGCTGCCAGGAAGGTTCGAGATGTCTTCATGATCAATCTTACTACTTCCACTCTTGCTATCCGGTTTAGTCTCCTGAGCTGTTACCATCATGACCATAGAAGAGTGTAACGTCTAACTGCTCTGCATCTAAATGTAAACAGAAGAAGACTGGGTTCGTTTCGTCTTTGAATGAGTTTGGCAAGCGATTTTGGTATGGTAGCAGAATAAATTATGAATACAAATCTTGGAAATTTCTACTGCGTCTCTGCATGTGATCCTTCGCTGATCCTTCAGCCCTGGCATGCAAAGTCTTGGTTATTGAATATTATGCAGGAAAATACTACAATAACTCTTGAGAAGATAGAAATCAAAATGTTTTCTTCAGTGGCCTTAGATTTGGTACAAGAAAACTTGGTCAGAGCACCAGCTTACTGGCGCAAAAATCTTGAGTCTCCTGTCCTTTTTTCCGGCGCAATGAGATTGCTACTATCATCTGGATCGCATCACATAATAGAAATAGGGCCCCATCCAGCATTAGGACAGCCCATACGGGACATCCAGCTGTGGGCCAATAAAATGCAGTCCTCCTATTCCTCAACGTTGTCTCGCGGGACTCGCAATGAGATATCTATGCTGCATTTAGCCAGCTCGCTTTATCTAGGGGTTTTCAATCTGCCGTTCTCCAAGATCAATGGTATAGGGTGAGCATCAGCTACACATTTTCTACCCCGAAGCATTGGGTCCATGACAAATGGAAATATCGCCCAGAGAAATATAACCAACGGATTTGAAAACATCGAAGCTGGTCTGACAGAGGAAGATGAAAGTGGTGGAGACATGAAGGTTGTCACTTTAAAAACAAACGGAGAGCTAAAAAAGATCGTACCTGGCACAAAAATTACAAAAGGGAACCATGCCGTCTCTATAATTCAAAATGGAGCAAAAACAAGCCCAGATCTTGCAAGCTTGGTGGAAAATACAGGGAGTGGTCTTCGAGTTATTCACGATCTACCAACTTATTCCTGGACCCACAAAGATCTTCTCTGGAATGAATCCCGAATTAGCTCGGATTATCGCACGCAGAAACACAAAAGGCACGATCTTCTTGGATCCAAAGTTTCTGGAACACCTGGGAGAGCTTTCTGGTGGCGTAATACTTTGAAACTACAAGAAGTGATATGGATCCAAGACCACAAGCTAGGACAGACTATAGTATTTCCAGCTGCGGCTTACCTTGCAATGGCTATTGAAGGATTATTCCAAGCACATGATAACTTAATAGAGGTTAGAATCACATTGAAGCAGGTTCATTTGTTGAATCTACTCGTTCTGGAAGCCGAGGGAGACGGAGTAGAGCTGACCATGCAGCTGGAGCCAGCCAGGCTCTCAAGTGCCACAACCTCTGAAATATGGTGGCGATTCGAAATTTGTTCGCGGGTTGCGGATGTATTGACTGTTCATGCCAATGGTCTGATAGCCGTGCAGAACTCGGATACCTATTCCACGGAGAGCTTGTTTTCTTACGCTGACTCTATCATGGAGGAACAAAGTACCAAAACTTGGTACAACAAACTAGCAAAAGAAGGGTTATGTTTCGGTCCCGAATTTCACTCTCTGGTGGAGATTAAGACAGATCGTGGTAAAAGAAGTTCCGGTGCTCTCGCAAAGACAATATATCGTCAAGGGGGCGGTTCGGGCGCATATCTCGAGTCCGATTACGTTTACCTCCTTTAACAATCGACGCGATTTTACAAGCAGCAATTGTTGGTTCCGCCGCAGGAATAGTTCATGATTTCAAAGGCAAGATTCCAGTCATGCTTGGCGAATTAGATATATTTCCCGGCAAAATAACGAATGCTTCAGAGCTCTGCAATATCGAAACTAGCTGCAGAAGAGTCGGCTTCGAATCTGTGCTACTTTCAGGAGAGCTGCAGAGCCCCGATGGAAAACTCTTAGCTCGCATGAAGGATGTTCGTGTCATTCCTTACAGAGAGCAATCGCTGCAAAATTCGACGGAGCGAAACCCGTATCTTCGAATTCTATGGAAGCCAAGTATCTCAACATTGACAAGCGAAAATTCCCATGTTTTAACTAGTCATTTGGAGCAATTCAATAACTCCCTTCCTTCTCAAGGCAAAGGTAACGACATGGCATACTTGACCGGTGCCATAGATCTCATAACTCACAGCAGTGGGCGAGCGAAGATTTTGGAGTTGAGCCATGACGATAGCAATCAACTAGAACAGTCAATAATTGCAGCAGGAATTGGTGGTAACAATAAACGCTTCGATTCGTATACGAGAGCTATAATCATGCCTGACGGGAGCATCAAAGCGACACCAAAAATCTCAGGGCAGAGCATCTTTTTGACCTCGTAGTTGTCTACCATATTTGCTGTATGATACACATTTCATTTACATCAAGACACACCTGGATATTCTCTCCACTGGGGAAAAGGAGCCGACACCACCATTTGCTACCTCATTTGCTACCTTCCAAATATCACTCAAATACTAGTCTTAAGGTGCGGGAAATGATCTGCAATATATTATAGAACACAAATACAAGATATTGGAAGGACGCATGTATCTCATTTTTTAGAACCATCCACAATTTCACAAACCTTTCATCGCAAATCGTGATGGAAAAATAAAGGCCATTTAAAGCTTGTTCTCTAGTCACTTACTTACATAGGAATTTCTACAATTCCGGAAATACCTACCCCAAGTAGAACATACATATTATCAAATTATGGGTGCGGAAGGGGAGGATTTCGACAAGAGAGGAAATAATTAAGATTTCATGCACGTGGCAGCCCCGTCAAGATGGCCGCGCTTGGATTGTATGAAAACCCACTCGGCTAGACAGTAGAATGCAGTTCCAAATATGTGTGGCATAGGAGAATTCGGCACTTGCTTGGTTTACAATTCTTCGACCCTTACGCATCGGAGATACTTCCCGATATGCATACCATCCGATCCTTGAATCTACCTGCCCTAAATCCCAACTGCCCTGCGTATGCAACACCTGAATTATTCATATCCCGGGTACTTGGCTATCGAATGCGAAGGCTTCAAGGCCAAGGCCGAGGCCTTCATAGGTGGGATATGTATTTCCCGTTCGAGACGAACCGGGTTATGGTTGCGTTATTATGCATGATCGGATGGGTGGGGTAGGGGTACGGGGAAGATCCGGTGTAGGGAGCGGCGGAGTGCGAGTGCCACCTGTGCATGGAGCATTTGTGTCAACTAGCCGGATTGAGGGTCGATACTCTCTAATGCTTGATTGATGTTGATGTGCATGGAATGTTGTACTGCGAATATTGAATTTGTGCGAAAAGAATTTGCTGTTATCTTGATAGATTGTTCTGTGACTCGTCTCTTCTTTTTATTGTGTATATGAATGTGGCTGGGTGTGCTTTCTTGAGATGATACATGTCTGTGTAATTCTTCACATATAGCTTGCTCATTGTAGCGAATTTGAGACTTGGGCGATTGGAATATCGTTTGTGTGCCCTCGAAACCCAGTCTAAAAGGAGAAGCAAGCGTTGATAACATAAAAATGGTAGTATAAGTTGTTGAAAAAAAGGAATTGACAATTACTATGCTACTGACTAGCTTCAAAGACACCATCTCCAAGTGAGGCAGCTTTTCGGATTCTAGAATCTAATTCTATATCTACAAGATAAAAACCTTGATTAGAATCTTGAAGAAATCATTATTACAATGAATATGTAGCCGTCCTTATTTGGGTCATAAATTTGTGAACCATTGATTATCGAATTATTGCTTGCAGACGCCGGTGAGAGAGAATTTGCTCTTTGGGTTTTTGATTATTCTTGCGATATCGTTCATTGTAGAAGGAATTTCGACCGTCATGACCACTGGAATCGCTACGGTCAAAATCACCATAAAAACCATAGCCACCTCGGCCGTCACGGGGATACTTAGCAGGACGTGCATCCTGAGGTGCAGCCGGAACGAATGCTGTGAAAGCCAAAGTTGTAGGTCCTGATAGTGGATGTACATTTGGGGAAAGAGTCCGACCACTCGGAACATTCGGAAGAGCATATTTTGTAATGGAAAGGTTTGGGTAGTTGGTATACACAGGTGGTTGGGCTTGTGCCATTACCAACAGGACAGTCGATACGGATTGTCTTTAATGTTATTACACGAAGCGTTTGGAGTCTCTGAGCTTGTGTATCTCGGCCAGACGTTTCTTGTTCTGCCCTAAAACCTTCAAGGGACGCTGTGTTTCCTGAATAATCTCGTATGCTTGCCAAAGACTATATGCTTGCCGAAGACTATCTTGGGTGGGTGGTGGTGATGTTATTTTTTGTATGACGGTTTGTCTGAAAAGCTTGTTGTATAGACCTTTGTAAGTGGAGATGACAGTTCTAGGATGAACGATTTCAGGTCATTGAGGTCGGAACTCGAAGAAGTATCTCAAGATTTGTCACAGCCACTGGACTGGTATGGCGCAATATATATATATATGTTGTATGTTGGTCATAAGCCATGAGAGCTTCCTTAACGAATTGCGAAAGGTTCTCGATCTCGATTAGACAGACTTCCGCTAATTCAAGAACTCTCTCGGGGCAGTGTTTGTATATGAGTTTTTTTATTGTGGTGACATCCTTATCAGTGGCTGTACGTATATACTTTCTGTCTTGATGATCTTTTTGATGCTGGGAATCGAGTTGAGCCATACGGAAGCTTCCCCGATGATGAGTAGGTTGATAGCCTTGAGGAGGAAAAGGTGGTTTATTGGAACTGACAGGCCCGCAGATTCCAAATAGTAATCTAAGCAGTCGAGCTATTGTTCCGCCAGTGTGGATCCATTATATTTTCCAGCGAGCTTGAACTCGGTTGGCATAATTTTGAGGACTGACATGCAGTAATCGACACTGTCGAGGAGCACATTCGTTGACGAATTGTTGATATAGAACGAGCTCTGTAGAGTCGGAGAACACAGGCTCTGGGTGTGCGTAAGAGAGGTTCGCAAACGCTTGTTTCACCCACGGAAGTGTGTGTAGGAATGTGCCAGTCGGTAATATCGATGCGTTCTGGGTTAGAATGGACCGAACGATATTGAAGTCGAGGTGAAGTCTGGTTTAGGGTAGAACCGTTGAACGCTCGCTGGAAGGCCGAGTCAACGCCGTCTGAGGGGACTCGGAATCCGCGAAATGGCTGTATGAAGCCAAAATGTAGAACGACGGGTATAACCCCAGGATAACCGGACGATAGTATTCGTTGTGCGGATTGCAGTGTAGTGGAATATAAAGGTTTGTGATTACAAGGTTATAAGTGGGTGTACCTATACTTGAATGGGGGGTCGTTTGGGTTGTAACGGATATGGATTGATCACCAATAAATTAAAGTTTTGTGTTGAGCTAGGGTCTAGGCTAATGATGGACTAGCAGACTACTCATATGATCTGAAGTATCAGGATCCGTCATAATGGTACAGCAGATGTAATCATATTCGAGAACCAATTTCATTCATCACTATAGATCAATGTCTCTTTTCATGAGAGAAAGTGTCGAATATCGGTACATCTCTTGATCCCTTCCTTCGTCCCCCCAATTGGAAATTGGTGTTCCTGTTCACGTGTCTTTGTTGCACATCTCAAACTCGTGGCTATCGCATGTTTTTGGGGGTTAGAAATGATGATCAATTGCACCTGTGGAAGAAGGCACCAAGTGGATGTTAACACATGCAAAGTGTTCTAGAAAGAAATGCTGTGGCAAGAATCGTCGCAGTGATACAAAAGTCAGTTCAACAATTCATCTTTAAGACTTGACTTATGGACAATTAAAGTTTTTAGTAGTCAACAGAGGATAATGAAGGAAGGTGTTAGAGGCTTTGCATCAGGGGTCCAGGAGCTAGGATATTTAGTGCACGGCTATCGATAACCGAGGAGAGCCATCAGCCACTGGGAACGAGTTAGCGGCGCTAACTCGTCTAATAACCTTGCTTGATACCTAATTAGATATATTTGAAAATCAAGTTATTTAGATGAACTACGTAGGCATAATCCCCTACTCATGTCGCCCCAAAAAAATCGGCAACTCGGGAACTTAAAAACTAGGTTACTCCCTTGTAAAATACCATTATATCTCTGACTTCATTTAATCGCTTTTTCTAGAAGTAAGTACCACCCGGTAGATCAGTGCAGCTAATCAGCTCCGCTATGACGTATTAGTCTTATTGGTAGCTTCGATGATTGCTCCAGCCACATCATCAAAATATCAACAACTTCATCAAATAAAATAGTCAAAGCATTTTTGGAGGTTCGTTTGCAGTCTTTGAATCTCAAATCAAACAAACGTCAAGGTAAAGTAAGGTAGGTACGGAAAGCAAAGCACAAAGAAAGAAGGTCATCATTAATTCTTCAATCTCTTTTATACTAAACCTCTTCTCCAAAGTTTGATTGAAAGGAAAAAGCCTTAACAGCAAGTTGTATATGCACATCAGAATCATCTCAAGCTCAAGTCTCGACTCGACTTACTGAAAGGATCTACAGTGGTTCTTTGATCCAACCATTCAAGTGACAAATCACAGTTACAGGAACCTGTGCTTTCCCTATATCGTCATCCATTGAATCATCACCCATTGTGGTAAAACCTCTCGAGTCGCCTTAACACAAGAGGGAATACAAAACAAGTTGTTCTCTGTTTGTTTATTACCCCAAACTTTTCTCTTCTCTATCAACCTTTCTATCTTTGATTCAAATCATTATCAACAGATATTTTGTTACTATAACCGTCATTTGAAGTAAGTTGATTTTGTTATCATAAGTGCTGTCTGCAAGGTATATATCGCTTGTGCGACAAGGGAGATTTTCTCCTTACTTGCATTTAGATGGGCTGGTACAGAGAATGAAAAGCAAGGACTAACATCGCATTTCGAACAGTTCCCCATCATTCTTCGCAATCGCATTGCATTCCTTTCAATACCTCACAGTTAATTCGACTCCTCCGCCATGGCTCTCACTCGTAAGTTTTTGTCTTCGAAGATCTTCGACCCCGCAATACCAAGTTTTTGAGAGCGCTCGCTAACTGTTAATCGATTTCAGGTGGCGTAATGGGGATCGTATCCTTAATTCTACTCGGTGCTTCGATCATGTTCATGTTCTTCGTAATACTTGGTGGTGTAACGCATACGAGTCCCCTCAACAAGACACAGTTCCTTACGGCCGATACTTCAAGTATTTCAGGAGCAAGACCAGTGTCACAATGGAATTATTTCTATGTTTGTGGAGCCGGCAATAACGATTGCGGAAAAGCAGTACCAGATATTCCATTTGGTTACGCATGGGTTGGAGGTGGTGATGGTGCTCCTTCGAGCCTTATTGGGTGAGTCGCTCTCAAATAAAATTGCGCAACTACAATTACTGATATTATAAAGCAAATATGGCAAAAATACGACCGCCTACTCCTATTATTACATGTGGAGGTTCGGATGGGTCTTTTATCTCTTGGGTCTTTTATTTACCGTAGGCGCGTTCATGGTGGCAATGTTAGGTGTCTGCAGTCGTCTTGGATCGGTCGTGGGGTCTCTTACGACAATGAGTGCTCTATTTTTCTTCACCCTTGGGGCTTCATTGATGACGTGAGTCTATACTCAACACTCAGATATCCCACCAAATCTAATCATGTTCTAGTGCCGAATTTGTGAAAGCTCGCAATCAGTTCCGCAGCGCTGGAATGAGTGCCAGCATAGGCAGATACGCCTTCGGCTTCACATGGGCAGCATGGGCCTGTCTGTTCCTAGCCTCGATCTTCCTTTGCATTGGAGGAATGACCGGTGAAAGCCGTCGAAACCGCCGGAGAGAAAGTAAAGTAACTGATGCCCATCATGTTCCCGTCGCAACCACTGCTGCAGGTACTGCTGGTACTGGTGGTGGTATGTTTGGATTCTACCGCAACCAACGACAGAAGCGTGCCACTCGTGCCGGCCGTAGCTCTTTCGACCGAAACGAGAGTCAACGTCGGGTTAAGGATGACTATGCTTAAATACATATGATCATGAAACCACACATGAGAGATGATTGGAGTGAGATTTGGTGGCGGTAATGATGTCACGAATCTTGAGGAACGACATATGGATGTGATATGGACAAATGACAATTTACGTTAACGGATACCCACGACCACATTTCTTTGGAATCTACATTTACACAAGAACATGCACACAACTAAGGGAAATATTGGAGATGGGAAAATTGTATCATAAGTTTGGCGATGGATGATGATGAGGGGTCGGATGGGTTCTTTTGTTTTCGCACGATTTGCTGGAGGTTATAGTATACACTAATTATATTTGTGACTTTAATATCTAATTAAAAAAAATTCAGACATCACTGGCCACGCATTGCAATACGTTGAGGTTTTATTTTGATCATTTTCTAAACTTTATCCACTCGATTTGTTCACTCTATTTATTCCTCTCCCACTCTCTCAATCCTCTTCATCTCCTTCCTCTCCGTCTCCCTCTTTTCCTCCCTCCTTCCTCCTTCCTCCATTCTACAAACCCTCTTCCCTCTTCCCATCTCTTCTCCCCTCACACCAGCCTTCAACATTCAACATCAACACCACCATTCTCAATTTAAAAACAATATCCTCTAATCAAATCATACTCGAGTATAGTAGTATTACTGATAAACTGTTAGTAGGTTATTACTCGAATACTCATTACTCGAATACTCGAATAGATAGATGCATTGGTATAAATAGTATAGCATAGTATAGCCTGGGCGATATTCTGTTCTGTTAGTGAGATATTAGTGATGGTTATGGTATTGGTGTTTTTATTTGATGTTATGATAGAGTAGAGTTGAGTTTAGTTGAGTTGAGGATGCTTGAGGATGGTGAATGGAGTGGAATGGAATGAAATTGAATGGATTGAATGGATTGGAACTTGTGGAATGAAATTGAATGATGAGGAGTAAGAATAGTAAGAAGAGTATGCATTAATGTTGCAAGTGGGATGATATGATATCGATGGATTTGGATTTGGATTTGGATATGGATTTGGATTGGTGAGTTATTATGATTGTGTGTTGTGTGTTATGTTTTGGTGTCACGGTATTGTGTCACTGTCTTGTCTGATGTGCGTTATGCATTAGTGTCACGGTATTGAGTGTTGTGTTGTATTGTGGTATGGTGTGATGTTGTGTTGTGTTATGTTTGTGTGTTGTTATACTACCCGAGCCTGAGTACTGCCAGTGGTTAGATGTTTGGGTTTGAGCTTGAGGGAAGCGTTGTTTAGGAGGGAGGCTAGGAAGATGAGTTGGCGTGTGAATGAGAGAATGTGGGTGAGGGGGTGGGATGGGATGGTATGATGGGAGGGAAGGGAGTGGAGGACAGAAGGAATGGGGATCAGATGGGTTTAGTTGGAGTTTGTATATATGAGTAGTAATATGGAAGATAGAGGACGACAATGCTGAGAGAGGTTATATAATAACGGTGAATACTAGTAAGTGATTGTGAATGAATATTGTGATAAAGGTGCCAGTGAATAAAAACAAATCAATAAAAACGCTCAAAATTTAATTGAAATGAATATATTCAAATTTGATTTCAGATAAGTAAATCCTAGCTAGATTTTAGATTCAATTTCAGACGACAGGGAAAATCGCTAAATTAGAGAGCTGCTGAACAATAGTAAAAAGTAAGTGTATAGACGACCCGGAATAGACAATATCTGTTGGAAGTTGAGGTGATATGTCACGTGCTCTGCACTCCTACCTAGCTCGGATGGATGCCTTAGGCATTCATCCACCATATAGTTGAGGTCGCTCCGTGCACCTCCTTCTCTCCTAGTCATGTACAATATACCTTTCTTAAGATAGTCAATAATACTGCTACTTCCACCACGCCACAGGGCATCACTTTCTAACAATATCTATATATATACCGGTATTTATAGATGAATAATCAAATGATATAAGGGAGTTGAATCTGGGGAGTGAATAAGGGCTTAAAACGTGAAAATGATTCGAGATAAGATAAGATGAAATGGCATTGAATGAGATGAAGAGATGAAAATTGATATGACGGTGTATGATTGTGATATGATTGGCTTGGTTTTAGCTTCACAGTTGCCTGCCTGGTAACGAGGTCTATCTTCTTGAATATGTAGAACACATAATGAATATATACTTACTCTCCCTTCGCTTATCCTATCTGGAGATTCACTCCCTTATTTTTACCCCTCCGCTCGGCTATTGATTATCATGAATTCAAAAGTAGTTGTCTGATAATCTTCCAAACTTCATCTCATCTTCATTTTATCTCCATTGTTGATATTGTACGAATCCGCCATTTGTACTTAGCTTTAATTCATTTCCTCCTCGTATGTCCATTGGTATCAATTGTTTCACCTCTTCTGGAATGTCTCCCCAGCCTGTCCAATCCTTCCTTTCTCGGACGTCTTCGTCCTCACTGAAACTTCCACCTTGACTTTCGATTCCACTTTGGCCCGCAGTATCACTCTCATCACACTTCTCGCCTCTCCCAAGACTCCCCAGCCCCTCTGCAAATTGCCTTACCCACCACTGAGCAATAGACCTACCATCTTTCAACTCGTCCTTTATTGAAGGCCCCAACTTAGCGTTCAACTTCTGATACTTCTCCTCATCCTTGAGAAGTTCATCGATCCCCACAATCCTCTTATCATCTAACCCACACGCCTTTATCCTATCCCACCACCCCCTCTCCAAGATCATATTCAATCCAATACCATAACTAGTAACATTTCTCCTTAAATGAACCCCCAAGCTTGCTATCTTCTCCCCTTCGTTCACCCATACTCCCGGATTATCCGTTCTACCTAGAATGTCCAAATCCATGCCGCGCAAACATCGAATTGTAGTTTCTTCCAGAAGGTTGACATAACATCTTGGGCCCAAATTAGGGAAAGTCAACAAGTCGAGGACAGGATAAATGACGAGTTGACCTGGACCGTGGAAGGTTACGAGTCCACCACGCGGCGTTTGAATAATTTCGGCTATCTGTTCCTTACTTTTGGAAGTGGTGAATGGTTTGCGGATGGTTGGGAGGTGGGAGGTGGAGATTGGGGTCAAGGGTTCGCGGAGGGCTTTGAGTAGAGTTTCGGAGAGGGGGGTTTTGAGCTCGCGCCGACCAGTGGTAAAGACGGGGGTAGGTTGAAAGGTGAGAATCGTGGGAATCGGGGCGGGAGGTTTGGGGTGAGCATGCTGAGAAATTGAGGTCTCTGCTTGCTGCGTTAGTTTCACAATTGGAGTGGAAAAGGGGGAAATTGTAAGAGAATAGCATAGTAGTCATACTTTTTTTGTATTCAAGCAGATTGGAAACCAGTGTGGATTGAATAATTTGAGCAATGTGAAAGGGAGTGATGCCTCTGAGATGGATGTGGCGGATGAGACCGCTAGGGACTGGGGACTGGGATGAAGTGATCATGGCGGGAGGATCTTAAAGAAAGAGACAGACGATATCAGTACGAACAAGAAAAAAAAGAGGAGAGAATGAACGCAACAGACTTATGTTGCGCAAAAGAGTCTCAATGTAAAGAACGAAATGAAAGAATTGAAACTTTGACAAGGCTGAAAGAAATGCTATTCGGAGTTTGACCTTAGATAAGAGCTCGAGGCTGGCCGAATAATGACTTCAGATCCCATCTTTGCTGCTTGTGCCGTTACCAAAGTTATGTATAGCTTCGTGTTATATGAAAGAAATCTTATCAATCATTGATGGTCTGTTTGTAGGTGAGGACTGGAGCTTATCGAATATTACGTAATCAGACATGATTACGATTAAATCAGGTCCCGCCATCCTCGATGGTCTCTTCCATTTCAAGCTTCTCTTCCATCGGTATTCAAATCAGCTTTAAAACTCTTCTATAAAATATCACCTCGAAATCACACTCGAACATCACATTGGCACCGCAGAATAATGACAGAAGCAGCGCCCTTAAATTACGAAGCTTCGGCAGGCACCACCAATCTCCAAGTGTCGAGAACCTTACCATCCGAAGTCGTTCAGTGTTTAGAAAATGCTAGATTTGTACGTTTTTGCCTCCTGGATCCTCCGGACTTTCCTTTAGTCTTGGCAGACGCTGACTCTATATGATTTATAGCTACATCTCGCAACCTGTACCTCTCTTCGTCCCCATGTCTCCCTCATGAACTACACGTACCTCCCCAGTACGCCCTGGTCACCTCATCCCACCATAATAATGACTACGAACCCAACCTCAAAGAAAGCCCACAATCTCCTCGAAAATCCACACGTCTCGTTACTAGTCCACGATTGGGTATCTCATCGTCCACCTACCGGAAATAGGGCTTCCAGTCCTCCGCGAAACGCAGGGGCAAGAAGTAGTTTGGCGGAGATGTTGATAGGATTGAATACGAGTGCCATAAGTAGTATAAGTGCGACGATTAATGGAGAAGCAAGGGTGGTAGAGAAGGGGGGAGAGGAGGAGAAATGGTTAAGGGAAAAGCATTTAGAGAATTGTGTCTTTCTTGGGGAAGAGGGAGTGAGGGCTGGGGAGGGAGATGGTGGCAGAGTCTTCGTAGAGGGGGAAGAGGTTAGAGTCGTTAGTGTGAAGTTGGGAGATGGGAGGGTTAGTGATTGGAAGGGGGCGGTTAGAGATTGGGTCTTGGATGATGGAGGCGAGGGGGAGAACGGCGTGGAGAGTGAGACTTTGTTGAACGGAATCCATTGAGGTGATTCGGGAGGGTGTTGCGAAGGTTCTCTATGATTCAATTACGATTATATGATAGTTCATGATGATGACAATCTAATGAAACAGATGTTTCTACCAAGGGACCGAGACATCTGTGTAGGCACTTCAGACTGCATTCTTCAAGTATGGAGAGAGCAATGAATCAAAACCTTCCACCCATTTTTACATGTTATCATTAGAGAGACAAGCTTTTGAATATGTGAGATTGATGAATATGTTGTTTAGATATTGAAGGTTTCACTCTTCATTCTCTTTTCCATCACGTCTTGAGCATGATAAGATACCCACTTTCTACTGTATTTTAGCTCTAGCTCGAACTCGATCACAAGTCCGTTTATGTTTTAAATTTGTTGTTCAATTTACCAAGACTTCACGTAGAGGTTTCTTCTATTATTCAATCCTTTGAGACCAGAATTCTGTCTTGACATCGCTAATGTCGATAATGTCTTTCCTCTCAATGAAGCCTCACATCCACAACAGGGTATACATGATGGAGCTGGTAAATCATATAATCTCACACATTTCAATGGGGAATACTTCGCCCCTCTACACAAAGCTTTCGACAGTGAAACACCTGACCATGTTCTTGGAGAAGCTGCAGCTAAATTTACCTTATTGTAATGGGATTGTATAATCTGGGCATTTTGGCTACTTCTCAAATCATGCTCTACTGTGCTCTTTGTCTTCTTGATGGACCTGCAAGGAAGTGATATGAAAATAGTTATCATGTGGCTGTTATCCGATGCTGCTATGACTCAGATGCTACAGTCATTCATGCATATGTTCCTCAAGGATTTCCTTCTTTGAAAAGGTTCAGTATCATACACTTCAATAGAAGGATACATAGGCTAGACTCTTGCTGGGCTTGATATAGACATTGATATAGACATCAGCTACTGATTTATGTGGACAACATTACTACTTACTTTTTTCAAAACTGAGAGGGGAATTTGTACAGAAAAGTATGCAGAAGAAGCACATGTTGGGATCCGTGACAGATGCATTCCAACAGGACTTCTTTGGATGAAATCCACTGATCTACTCTCATATCTGTTACAATGGGATCACACCTCGCGCTACATATATATATCCTCTATAGAACAAGACTTTATCAGACCAAAGTATGATGAACCATGATAATTCATGTTCTAGGAGTCTGGAACTGGAAATGAGAATGTTGATGTTGAATGGGAAAGATCACTGGGAAGTGAGGCTTGATATTTCGTCCTTACATTAGAATGAGATAATTTACAGCCTCTCAGCTAATGTGATAAGTACATACTACGTACCGAGAAGTTCATCAAGTCATCCATCTCCTGATTGGAAATTTCCCTAATATTTCACTTGCTTCTCCTCATCTACAAATTTCCACTGAATCCGAGATCGATTCCAGATTGAATTGATTGTTGAAATTATACAGTTTCAAGAATAATCTTGCTATTCACTTTGTTTCTCCCCTGTTTTTATTATTTGGTTCTTGGTTCATGAGAGAACTTTGATATTGCAAATCCTGGTGAAATTCGGTGAAATTAAAGACTAATTTGAGACTGAGCAGCTCATCAGTAGTTAGCCAGTAGTTACCCCTCTTCTTCCAATTTCCCTTCTGGGCTCCATTCATTCACTCATTGTTCATACAATAAACGGATGGGAAATTTTTGATCAAAACCTCCCTCGTTCCTCTTCCCCACCCCCCCCTCTTCTTCTTTCCTTCGACACAACAATACGACAGTCCCATTCCTTGTCTTTCTCCTACTGATCACTTCCTTTTATCGCATCGACTGATATTACTCTTTCAACACTTGATAAAGCAGAAAGGTAGTTATTTCTATACAGATTATGTGTTGAAAGCTTTGCTGATTCTCGGATTGACAGTCCCCAAAAGTTTGATCAAGACCAAGGAAATAGGATTTTCGAAGATCTTCCATTACAAATCACAGGTGCTTCGATTTCTTCGGCCACCATACACAGTCATTGAGATATTCAGAGCCATAGATACTTTGCAAAGGGTTATACTTGTCAAGTTCTCAAACAATTCACCATGGGAAGCAGCAGCAGCAAGCCTTGGTCACCAAGCGCCAACACACACTAGGCATATAAACCCGACTTGGATTTTCATTCAACACCCATGAGATCCGACTTCGCCACATACAGAGAAGTCGAGCGTGGCTCTCTAGGTCCCGGAGTTATTGGCGTTGGCACGGTCAAAATGAAGGTCAGGTGGACGTACGGGACGAAGGAGGTTTGCTTTAGAACTATGGAGTTTACTGACGTTCGCCATAGCCCTTTCTCTTCTGAACGACATATCGGTCAGCTAAGAGGTGACTACAGCGGCTCAAAATCCAAAGACGCTGATTATAGGCGTGGATTCTATGAAGACCATGCCATTATGAGTCACAAAAAGAGCCCCTTTAAGGGCAAAGTTTTGTTTCTAACCCGCAACGGATTGATCTGGTCACGACCTTGGGAACCTCTTAGCAATTAGGTCGAAATCATTGAGGAAGGAACCAGAAACATCTTTCGGCATCGTCTCTGCATGCCTGTCGGTATTCCCGTAGACGCTACAACATACATATAAAGGCAAGTTTTGATACCTCAACCACTATGACTACATGGTTTTAACACCTACGGCTAGATTTTCCAGGCATTCTATCCTCCATCCTCCAACATTCAACATTCAACTCTTGTGCACTTTTTCCAATCCATGCATTTGCATGATACAAGTTTCTTTACAACAAGCATCGAGGCGACCTTACGAGTTAAGACTTCGAGAATTGATATCTCGAATCTGGTCATCTTTTCATGGTATTTTCATGGGGGGGTTTTTCAATTCGGGTTTCCAAGTTTAGATATTTGGGTTTGAGATTTGAGATTTGAAATTCAAACATTCGAGATGTATCTGGCAGGCCATTCATCACAACAAGACTTTTATTTCGATGGAGCGTTTTCTTTTTTTTTCTTTGGAAGGATTTGAAGATGACATTTTCAGATTTCAGATTCTGGGGATAGAGACGTGGAGATGAATCTGGCGGATTCTTTAATAAGGAACTTATCGTTTGTTTTTTGCAGGACAAGTTTCTTTCAGGGAGATAGATGGAGATGTATTCGCGAGGTTAGATAGATACTAGGATTGAATATTCAAAGATTTCTTTACATCATGTTGTGCTGTGCACTTACTTGCCTGCTGTAAACTTGAGACGATGCAGCCTTTTGCAGTGCTCAAGCTCCAATGACACTCACTGACATAAATAGCACAAGGCATACACGATTTAGAAGGTTACCAGCGGAGATAAGAGATTCATAAGTGCATGTTGAATGCCACATCTCCAATTCCCACTTCATCAATGTCTCGCCAGCCACCACTTCCTTGAAAAAAGTAGATACAAGAAAGAACCATATTCGTCCCAATCAAACACAAAAAGTATCATCACTCAAGAAAGGAAACCCATGCCTATCCCGCGTCCATAAATTCGATCCAACACCCGCATCACATCACATCATATCACTCATCCACCTCACATCATACTCACCCCGCAATCCTCGCCAAAACAAACGCCAAAGCCAGCGCATTATACTTAAGTACATAATCCAAATGCGCAACGACATTTAAGCCAGAGCAACAGAACGGATCCCCAAAATCACAGTATGATTTCGCGATACTGCTGTAGCTAGCCAGCGACTGATCGCTGGAGCGGGGAAAAAGTCCGTTTTGGAAACAGGTGCCTATGTGGAAGGATTGCTGGTTGAGCATGTAGCGGGGGTCGCCGTACTATTGTGGGGAAGGAGGGAGGGTTAGCGAGGTGGGGTTTTGGGGATGGGGATGGGGATGAAGATGGAGGGGGTGGAGTTGGGCTTTGGTTTATTGTGGTAATGGGAGAGGAGTGATGGAGAAGGCGTGATAAAGAGGGATGAAAAAGGAGGAAAGAGGTATATACCATGATGGCAGCCTTGACATGAGAGCCATATTTCGCGAAATCCACAGCAGCAGTTTTAGCTCCCAGTGTTCCGCCTCCACCACCCGCTAGAGTATCACTAATACATTCCGCTATCAAAGCGAACACCACAAATTAGCACGACATTAATCCACAAAGCACCAAAACAGCAACTCACCCCCCTGCGAATACCCCAAAAGCACAATTTTCTGCTGAGGACACGCCTCGACCGCCGCAATCAAATCGGCCTTCATAGCCGCGACTCCACTCGCCACACTAGGCGCATATGGAAGGAGCAGAGCCGGGTACGAAACCGAGGTACGGGTTACGGATTGGGAGGTGGCGAATTGAATTGCGGCAGCGAGAGCACCGATGGCGCCTTCGCCTGGTAATTCGGTGGATGCGCGGGCTGTGATGATTTTAATGTCAGTGCAGACGGCGGTAGTGTTGATGGCGGAGGTTGCAGGTTCAGGATGGGAGATTGGAGCAGGGGCTGGGGCGGCGATAGTCAGGGTGAGGGTGAGGGTGAGTGGCAGGAGGTGGATGAGAGTGAGAAGGGAGAGGGGAGAATGCATTTTGAGTGGTGGGTGATATGAGTGAAATTGTATTGATTTGGGGATATTTGAGAGAGAGGTCACAGGGAGGATTGATTAGATGGAATGAGATGAAAAGAAAGAGATATTGAAAACTCAGGAGATTCATTCCTGATATATATTTACATTTTCTTGTTCGTTTCGCCAGCAATTTGCATCACACTGAATTAACTTGGCCGGGATCACATCAACCGTTCATTCCGACGACAATAAGCTTCGAATTGTACTCGGAACAAAAGAACAATCTCATCACTTGCTGCCATGAAGTTTCCGAGGTATTTGTCAAGAATAAATGAAGGAGGGAAAAGCGGGACTGCCCGCCAAAACTTCCTTTTCGTGAAAAGGTACGATGACTATGTACTGAGTGAGTACTAGATACTTCACCATATTGCTTTTCTCCACTGAGAACATTGTTTATATGACTTCTAGATGATACCGATATTCAAAGGTAGGAAGTCACCGTCATGATGTTGCTCCGAGGTGTTCTTGAACACTACAGTGCCGGAATCTGTGGCTTCGTTTCTGCACTCCATGAAAGCCTCAAAATGATACGAATGCGGGGTATCTTTGACCAACATCTGATCTCCAATGCCGTTCCAACTCAATGCGATAGTCCTATTCCTCGATATATCACCGTCATCTGAGCTATCAAATAAAATTTTGTCATGAACCCATCCGGACAGCATGGAAATACCTCGGTGGTTTATTATCCTGTCTATACCTCCCTCAACCTTTCTTCAATAATACAGCATAAGCCTAAGAAAACAGGATTAATTCTAATGCCATGGAAGAGGAGAAGAATATCTAAAAAGAGCCTGAAGGTACAAAATTTCCCTTCCATTAGTCAATGTCACCATGACAAGGTTACCCCATACTTTCCCACGATGACCGACGCCACAAAGTGACACTTACCTGTAGATCTTGATTTAAGTCTAAATGTGGAAGATGGTCGGCTTTCAAATTAGTCTCTCTCTTCTATTTTGTATAGATGGGTCTAGACTATTCTGAGTTAGATTCAATGTTAAGTTCGAGAAACTGTCCAAGTGTGAGAAGTAAGCGAATCAATTGTTTTTTAAGATTGGACTCCTTGGCCAATCGCATCTCCCTCAAGATACTTCAGGAGAAATACATACTTGGAATAAGATGAACTGCATAATTAACGTGAGCATATGAAACAACTATACACCCCGCGACACATGCCGAGGTATTTTGGGTCATGGCAGAAACTAAAAACGAATTTCAGCATGGGATATTAGTTGTTCCAGAATAACCAAAGCCATCAAGTCTTTTGATCTGTTTACAAGAATTGTAGCATCTTGCATGCGGGTTCCCCCACAGTACGAGATCTGACATACTGGTAGGGCTGGACGCAGGTTGTCAATGATCTTGACATTCGGAGAATTAGTTTGCTTTAGACAGCAACCCAATCGACCGAGGTATGCTTGGAGTTCTGCTCAGCTGTGTAATACGAACCTATGATTCCAAATCATGGGATCCTGAAATTTTCTCCCGCCTTCCTCATGCTTTTATCCCCCTCTCGAGGTGGCTATGTTTGATCATTTTTGATTCCGAATGCTCGGCATGCAACCCATATTCCCTTCCATCTGGTATCTGCCTTGATCGATTATGGCAGCAAAAACCAGTGATTTGACATTGTACTATTGTATTCAATGTCGTTCCCGGACCATTTGCCTTATCCAATCTTCCCAACAACACTGTTAATGAATCGCTGTCAAACATTGCCAGACTCTTATTGGGGCTGCATCCCCTGAAGCCGATCAGAATTCTATGTAGCTGTAGAGCTGTAGAGACGTCTTCAACAACAATTCCTCCACGGATAAGGTTATCGTCCCAAAGAAAACAAATCTGACATAGTGGCTCAAGATGAGTAGCAGAACTGGCCCGATGCACTGCTGTACCCCGAATTCTAAAGCATCCAGAAGAGGCTCTTCGATTGTTGCTGCACCACATTCCACCAAATAGACACTACATAGAAAGCTTGAATGTATGTACTCGTGTTTACCCCAGCCAATCGCAACAGTTCACCATTTAGGTTATCCCTGGATGGCCCGATGTAGTCTTGGCTGCTTGCTTGACTTACCGAAATAATATTCTCGTGAAATTTTGATAAACAAAGCCCTTCCCTAGGTGACTATTAATTGTCAAGTGCCTGTAACCTATAAGCACCCTGAAATTACAGGCCAATTAGTGTGCCCAGAGGTCGATCTCGAATTCCCAAAGTGTACGAGGTAGTGTTTCGAAGAACTTTATCTTATACCAAAGTAATCGAACCTGTTCATGCATCAGTAATTACTATTGCTTGACAGATAGTTTAAACTCACCAGTCTGCAACATCTAATGTCGTAGGAATTGTATGTTGAAAACCAGGTTGTATCCAATAGATCATCTGATCTGGAGCTATGTAATTCATGTTGTCAGGAAATGTAGGATCTTGATATTGAACTGTTTCCGGAATTGGATTCAGTACTGCAGCCGTAGCCCAGAGATCATCAGTCAAAAAGAAATCGTCTTCGTGATGCATGAATGATGCGGATTGATGTTTAGCGTGTGTTTCGGGCGGTATTTGCATAGGAAATACCATTATTGTTGTTGACGGAGTTACAGAGTTGACTAGAAGTCCCCATACCTCTCCCTGACACAGAACTCAGTGTCGCCTTCTGGTGTGCGAGAAGAGAATGCGTGAGCCGAAGACTGTCTTCTTTGGTTTCTCCAGATGTTAACGAAGGGTGTTCGAGAAAGCTAAAAACATGTACTTTGTGTTCGCCAATTTGCTTGAAACGTTTGGTCCCATCGAGAGTATAGCTTCCAAAGCCTGCTGCCTGCAAAATGGCCTCGAAAAGTCCTCGAACCATTTTTGCGACTAGCCATACATCAGAAAGCTTTTCCAAAGCAGACATGCATATAGAAAATCTTTTACCTGCAGCTGTATTCGTTGATGGCGAATCAAGTTGGAGTTCGTAGACATGGATAATCAAGCCCAACAGTAAGGAATATATCCTAAAGATCTTTATTAATAGTACACAAACTCTGCTGTATATTTATATAGTCCTTACAGAAATGGAGGAGCATATCTCAATTCATTGCGTGCAATCAGATTCTCTATGATTGTAGTGATGGGGCTTGCGGATTGAAAAGCGGCGTGTTGCGAAATATCGAGTTTCTCATGAAGTTCCGATGATGATTTAACGGATGGCATGTAGGCACGATGTAAAAGACATCTTGTAGTATGGTAGACTAAGTGCAGATAAGAAGACAAAAAGTTATTGTTGTTTGAAGTGTTCCATCGAATCTGTCGAGGGCAGTTCTGAACCCATTCACACAAAGCCTGATCACACTCTTGTAGAATGAGAGAGTTACTACCATGCTTCCTGGATTGTAGGGAGTGATGCTGGAAGAGTATGTCGTCCATGGTCTCGCATAATTTCACGTACTGAAGAAAGAATTGTACTCGATTTTCATCCTCAGGCTCAGCGTGATCATCACAAAATCTTCTTCCCGAATCATTTCTAAATCGGAATCTTCAAAGTTGATATGTGCTGGTCGTCCAAGTGCCACTGCTACTGACCGGTCTCTGATATATAAGGTCCACCATATCCTTTTCCAAACCTTTTATCGGCTTCACTGAGACGAGAGCCGCTTGGACTTCGATGCATTCCAAAACCTTGAGCAATAGTAATCGCTAAGCCATTCCAATAGAAAACATTCTTTATAACCACCCCTGGCTCTTCCCAATACTATTTTGAGTTGTCAGTATTCTCCCCTATGATACAAGTACTATAAACATACCCATCCTAGAAGAGTAAGTGCTTGGACTATAATAACACGGTCTTCTTCATAATCAGCATCGTAAAGGGCTTTTGCTCTCTTATAAAACATTGTCGCGGCGGGAATCAGAGAGCCATTTGCATCTAAAAGCATGGATGTAGTGCAGACTCTGGATCCAGCCAGCAAGATTGCTTGCATTAATAATAATGGAGGTTGATTTTCAAGGTCGTGCCAACGTTGCATGAACCACGACTTATCAAGATGTTAATGAATGTTGCAAATCAGAAAGGAATTGAATAAGTTACCTTGTTAATAATGGATACAACGGGGGCTGCCCATTTGAAATATGCGTCAATCAACTCTTCACATACATCTCTAGATGGAAGCTGTAGCGCGCCTCGCTTTTTAAGAATGTCCATCTCTTCCGTGTTGATTTTAGTAGCCATGTGTTGATTAGCCGCATCATCCGACAGAGGACAATGGACAGCACCGGCTGAGCCATAATAATCCTTCATAAGTAATGCCAATGATGACTTTTTCTGCAAGTATGCCACTTTTCCGGGATTCTCAATTGCAGATGATGAAAGTGTGAGCTTATTAGCTTAACGTATTGTTTGGTACTGTCCGGTTGTTGCTTGATATGCTGGTCGGCTTGAAGAATCAGGGAAGCAAAATCGTCATGGTTCGATGTGAACAGTTGAGAAAGCCAACTATCATCATCTTTTCCCTCGTCGATGTCGCCACCGTCCTCTTTGTCATTAGAAGGACCGGGCTGTCTGACTCTATGTCTATGTAAGAATGCATGATTTCAGAGGGTACCTGATTTGAAAAGTATTTTCAACTGGATACTGACATGGAAATGGCCAGCTTTCTTCTTCCACCAGCAGAACTTCCTTCCCTGTTCGAATTCTTCTTTCGCGGGGGTATACTGCAGTCCAAAAATAATGCCTCACAATTTGTACATGGAATTCCGTGAGATCCTGCGTCGCATCGCACCTAGTCTATGTTAATGAAGCAACTGGAGGCATTTTTGATTGCAAGATATTATACCCGTCTTGAATGGCACATCTGTTGATAAAAATATCATCAGTATCATTTACCACACGAGGATATACTATTGATGGCACTTACCTCGCATGCTCGGCCAGCCCGAGGTCTTGAATTTGTTTTAGCAAACCGGAACATAGAGGAAATCTGTTCATGCATAGAGCCTACCTTCGAAAGATTCGACGACATGGCGCTGGAGATGGCTTTGGCGTTAAATTTTCTGCTTCGTTTTCGATTTTATCACAATTTCTCAAATATCCAATTTTGAATTCAAGTTGATGGTTTTCAGGAGCAAATTGAGGACTTGTCGAAGAACTCATGATTGGAATGATTGTCCTCGAAGACACAACCTTGAGAAATTCTCATAGTATATAGTCATGATAGATGAGAATTTTTCATTTGAAGATGTGTATGGGAATTTCCGGTATTAATGTTTGTCTATGAGATCTAAGACTCTGTCCTTAAGGATGTTGTTGGTTGGTGTGGAGTGTGGGAATAAAAAAGAGCTAAAGCTGTGACTTTGGAAGAACGTCGCTTCATGCAGAACTCCTGAAATTCATGGGGTGTAGCAGTGTGGCTAGATCTGCTATCTAGCATGTTTCGGTGTTTGATCAGAATTCAAGTACCAACCTGACTCCTGACATTTCTTTTGTCCACAGAATAAACAATTATCAGATAATAGTAACAGTGATAGTGACAGCGGGAGATGATGATCCACACATGGATTGTCCCTCATACAAATAACATTAATGGGTATGGAAGGAAAGGATCCAATTATTCGTATTGGACCGTGACAGAAGACAATGGAACCACCGGTAACTCATTATAGGCCAATAAACCTAATACCGTTAGATGTACTCGAGGAACGGCATTAGACTAGGGCAATTTTCCCTTCAGTGTTTTCCGCAATCAATCAACAGTCTCGCGGGCTCCCACTCCAATATGCAAAACCATAATCCAAGGATATAAAGTTGTACCATGCTCTCCTTATCCCAGCTCCTCCACGTGTGAGATTAGATCAGTCCCAAAGAGAAGGAGACTACATCTGGTTTCATTACTCGCTTCATCTAATCTTGTAACAGCACTACCCCCTTCATCGGTAAAGCATTACTTCGGATTGAACATAATATAGTTGCAATAAAGCATATAAAAGACATTTCGGTAGAAATTGCACATCTGAGCAACAGTGACCGTCTTATTTTCTATACCTCCAGCTTACCCAGACTGTATGGTAGGTGGAAGAATCGTAGCCGCAGAGAAAATTGCGAATATTCAACCACGTGTATTCAGACAAGACTATTTTAGATCGTGAGTTCGTTTCAGGCAATGGGGAAATGGGGTAAAGAGGTGAGATGAGATGTGTAACATATTTTTATTCATCTGATATTCGAAAACCTAATTCGATATGAATGTATTTTTTGGCTCGGTTGGATCTTAGATATCTAATGAAACTGAAGTTCTTGTCCGACTTGGAACGATGTCAGACGTGTTGACTTTCTATATTAAAATAACCCTAAACATTCTGAAGTCATGAGGCAAATTGCTCATTAGATACAAACTGATGCGAGCCTGCTGAATTTAACGCCGTATGGTAATGATGCCTGTAAAACGCAATAAAATCCTAAAAACCAGACTTCATTGTGAAGTCTCAATCTGAAACTTGAATGAATTGATATTCGATGGGCATCTAAATAGTCTATAGAGACACTTATAGTCTTGAAAGGAGAGCTTCAAGGATATTGAAGGAAAAGTAGCGTGCAATAACCACAATTGAAAGCCCATCAATATATTTGTAAAGCTTTCCCATTCCCACCAACCGAAATCTTACTCTGTCTGCCTCCAATCAAAGCTCTCGTATTGACCGTCGCAGCATGCATTCCACCATGTCTCTTGCTTGTATCTCCATTTCCATGCTCATCCCCATCAGTCTGATGTGCATAACTATTTGGCCTATTCATCTCGGTGGTGTCCCTCGCAACACCATACCGATCAAAAACTTCCTTAATCAAATCATCCACTTCTGCGTCACTCATTTGCTCTCCCCATCCAACAGCCAATCTGGTATCACATTCCTCAATGAAATCTTGCACTTTCCGCATCTCAAACTCGTCCTTACGCAGTCGATCGGGCAATCCTTGACTCTTCAATATCCCTAAAATTCCAGCTAAACAACTGTTTACAACACCCAATGTAGTAATTGCCTGCGGATGTGTCTGGGATAGTTCGCTAAATGAAGCGAGAACTCCGCCGATGACGAGCTGTGAGAGGAGAGACGAATAGTAGACGCTTTCAATGAGGTGATATTGGAGAGAGAACTTGTGTTGTTGAGTGAGAACGGATTTGTAGATTCCGTAGGCATTTTGTCGAAGAACTTCGAGGTTGGAGGGCGGAGAAGTGCTCGGCGAGGTAATAGGGACGTTTATACCAATCGCGAGACGGAATTTATGGAGGGATGGTGATAGGGATAGGGTCAAGGATGAGGAGGGCAGTGGGTGGTGCGAGGGAATCAATTCGGAGAGGAGTGGTGTGCTTTCTGCGGACATGTTGAGGGCTGAATGAATACAGGACTTACTGCGTCTATTGAAAGAGAATAACGAATTCAAGGGATATATAGGAGTCAAAAAATATTTAGGTATCTAAACTTCCCATGCCTCTTGACTTTCTATTGTTGATAAGGATGGAGAAACAAAGTTCACGCGACTACCTCCTGGTGTTGTGTCACGCAGTAGCTGCGATGAGGGTAGGCCACCTTCACCACTACTATGGGAGTGGTCATTTCCCTTATTTGATGATCAGATGAAGCTTCCTCCTGATGATTTGTTCTAATATTCACACAAATAAGACATCTGGAAGTCGAGGTTGATTCGAAGCATTCTCATGATTTGAAGATGGAAGTCGAAGAATTAGAGTAACGCCTAAATACGCCTATATGTTAGCGTCGGCAATTCCCGACCGAGCCGAGATCATGACTGGAGCAACCTCTTGCAACTTTGGTGATCTCCTTCTTCAATAATGTACCACGAGAAGTCGAAGTTCCAAATAAATTTATCAATACATTCCGCGTGATTTTGTCGCTATCTTAATATAGCCACGAGTCTTATCAATGCCCTTGGTAGCGGTCATGTATTTGGTTCGGTCTTGAAACCTCACAACTGATTTGTTTTTGTCGGTAGACCCTGACGTCCCTATAGCTAAGGCTCCGTAAAGGATCACCATGGGAATCAAACATTTATGATGTGAATATAGTGTTCTATAAAGCTGGAGTGCAGCAATAGGATATGGCAGCAGTCCGACTAATCGCTGAAGGCCTGAAAAATAACTTCGAGAACGATTTCGAAGTAGGAAAAGGAATGGAAACAGATTATGTCACATCATCTATCTCAAGTAGAGATGGTATTTGATCGGCCAGTGCTAGATCAGAAATATTCAGTCAACTTGTGTGAGACATTCTATATGACTCATTCACTATTCATGGTCCCCAATTGTCCTTGTAGTATTCTTGAAAAACGGGATTTGCAATTCAGTCAACACCCATTCAGCAATCGATTATTTTATAGTGCCGGCTGTTCGAACTACAATGGACTTCTCCATTCAGATTGAACCCACGAATAGTTGGTGGCATGATATCAATTGAGCTTGAGCTATTACTCCAAATAATAAGCGTCTCCAACCTTGGACCTTACACTCGACTATGCGACTTGATGGGCATCTGGTGTATACCAACAATCCTTCGGTGACTTCGATATACAAGGTATCGAAACAAGACTTTACGGACAGTAAGAAATTTGTAACCGCGTGTTTGACATTCCAACTCCTAGACTAAGTTAAGAATCCTTTCAAAATGGCTAGTCATCTGTTCACAACAAGCATCTGCAACAGACCCCAGTCGAGAAGAGAGGATTGCGTGTTACTCAACAGGTAGCTAGTATGTTTGGTTTTGGATTTCATCGATCCATTGGAAGCAAACTGGCAATTACGGTTTGTAATGGCATCGCTACAAGACCGGAAATCTAGAAGGTACAGAATCCTGTATTCATTATAATAATCGGTAACTTCCCAGCATTTTACCATTCGCCCCAGCATCAACTTCGAGATCCGACCTGCATCAAGATTTCCATCAACAACATATTATGGAGTTCCATTTCTTCAACCCTGCTTGAGTTTTGCATTTTCTCTTGTGAGTTGCTTCTTCAGATATTTGTTTGGAAAAGTCATCTCAAGATACGTCTGGCTCGTGTAATCCTACACCGCTAGGTTCTAAAGGATCCTCTTCACCCAGCAGCATCTCCATCTTAAGATACTCATCACAAAATTCTAGCTCCAAAGATACTTTCAGCTCAACGGCATCGTCGTCTAATTCTAGTTCTAATTCTAGTTCAAGCGAGAGTTGGAGCTCAAATTCTTCATCGTCCGATTCTAAGTCGAAAGATCACTCAGGGTCAAAATCTACATCTTCTGTACATTTATCTAAGGGAAGCAAAGATTCATCGAGCTATGAATCTGGATCTAAAGGAAATAACCATTATGGATCTGGCTCTGGCTCTGGTCACGAATCGCATTCGAGAAATAATTATACTTCCATACAAACTCATTGTACTCTGGTAACTTCCACGACTGTCATATATATCTCAGCTAGTAAGAACACTCACACTCAAGATGTATGTCTATATTCTATTCTACCTACTTTCGTGAATTTTCCGTTCTAGCTCCCTGAGGTTCCTCATTTCCATGCTATATTCCAATTATAACTAACCCACCTTCAGACCTCAACATACATATCAACCATCGAAAAAACAACCGAAATACAATACCAACACCCACACCGCCACCTCCGAATTCCTCCTCTCCATTTCCATCCATATCACTCTCACCTCATCCACTTTCATCGTCTCAACAACCTCCCTTGCCGCGGTAACAAGCTCCCAAATTTCAAAAGGTTCACCGCTATCTTCCCAATCCATTTAATCCCAATCTATCCCCGAATTCTCCGCTACCATAGATACACCGCTAGGAATTACGAGTACGGTGAGCATGGCGAGCATAATTTCATCATCCACAACAATCATACCATCCATCTCATCCATCCAAACTATCACCTCGGCCCCCACATCCTTAACGCAAAACATCCCCCCCGTAATCCTCACCACACTTCCTCCCACCCTTTCCAGTACATCCCCCACTACATTCTCCAGCACATTTCCCAGCTTTACAACATCCGCATTTGGGAATCTTACGATACAAGGGACTGGAACAGGGACGGCATTACCGATTTTTACTGGGGGTGCGGGTTCTGATGGATTGAAGGGGGGATTGAGGATGAGGGGGATGATGTGGTTGTTGATGGGGGGTGTGGAGTGGCGGGTTTTGTGAGATGGTGAGTGTGACAGGGGAGAGGAGAGAATGGGAGAGAATGGGGAGGAGATGATGGGTATGAAATCTAAAATTCGGCTTTTTTGTTGGATGAAGTATAGATTATATCGTAAGTTGGAAAATTAATACTCGAGTAGATGTCAATTAGTAATTTATGGAGCGACTAATGGTAGAATACATTTGATTCCTTAATTTGCGTAATACCATACTTGAAAACATTGCGTCCAATTTCATGTATAAAAGCGCCGAAGTCGAGACCTGTATCTCCCATAATGAAGAAGTGGCATTCATGAGGGCGGCATCCTCGCACTATTATCCCTTTAGAGTAATTACTCAAGCAACCCACCCATTGAATCGCAGGGCGCAACACCAGATTAGGGTCTGAAAGACTTTTACTTGAAACTAGATGTTCTCCGTCTATTCAGACCTGAAAACATAGCATGGCCGCTCAGCTTTGTTTTCTTCTTGGGTAAAACCTCTTCTTGGTCATGGTAGCCCCCTAAGATCATGGAGAACTCAAAAGTATCCGCTTGTATCTTGTAATGCAGGTCGGCTTTCCGCCTAACCTTGTTACGAAAGAACGAGGGGGTGAGAAGAGAAGTGGGATCGATCGCAAACCATGTAATGGTTGGGTGACTTGACAATTATCTATCAGTAACCTGGTCTTATGTGGAGAATTTGGAAGGACTATCTGGATGACCACACTGAGCTCCAGGAGTCGGGCATCGGGACGCAATATCAGGCTCATCGACGAAGAATATAATGATAGTATCCCAAGCAAGACTCCTTTCCTTGCAGTTTATCAATTTTCCACGAATAAAGTTCTCCATCACCAACCCAGTCTCTCGGTCATTTTCTTAGACACCGAAGTTGTAGCATTCGTCGCGGCGGGCTTGTTTCCCTTGACATCGAATTTCGTATGGTTAATTCTGTTATCATTCTGCCAATCGTATCCAACTCTTTCAACCTTTTCCCAGTCATCTTTCGCAAGGTCGCCCTCTGGTGTTTCTATTATCTCCCATTCTCCATTCGAGCGAACCCAGACGATATTTTCAAGACAGATCGGACAAACAAGACCTCTGTCGATGCGCACTTCGACTTCAACGGTGCAGGTTCGGCGGTCTTGAGCATAGAGGGCGCATCTCGTCTGCCGGAAAGGACGGTGATGGCAGTTGACGTAGGTGGAAAAGTAGGTAGTGCACATATCGTCGGTGTCTATGTATAGAATATTTTTAATGGCAGCTTAGATATCTCTCTAGTGCTAGTTTCTACGATAAGAATGTTGATTGATAAATTGGATAGAGTGCTGTCTTCGGTGTTGCTATGAGGGTGAGTTGAAAGGCTGCCATATGTAGCTTCTAACTCGTGGTAGGTAGATATTATATTATTCACTTATTCCGGTGTATGAATAACGAATATAATGTGGTTGGATACCGTACTTCTAAGTGAAAGATAACAATGTTGTGTTAGCATACTGAAGCAATGTAATACGTCATTAGAGAGTAAAACTATAACCTGGTTGGACGCAACTCTTACCCAAAAATCGTCTTAATGTGGGATATGGTATATATTTGGGTATATTATTATATTAACAAGTGAAGTCCCGTGCCACTTTATTTCATCTTATCTTATCTAATCATGATTATCTAATCTAATACACACTTATCTTATCTAATGAATGTAAGCGCGGCGGGGCAGAAATAGACAACGCGACGACGCGTAAGTGAGCGGCCGCTAGTCTATCTTGACAGCAGCCTCGGTCGACGTTTCGCGATAAGTAGTTCACCTACATTCATCCAACCTTCAGAATTTACCCATTTTGATTCACATTTCGAATTCTTAATTTCATTAAAGGAAGGCGCGTCTCCGGTAGTCTCTTGTAAACTGTTTGCAATGGCTGATGAACTTTTCCTCCCACAATTGACAAGAGACAATAATACATCTTCTAGATTTACCAAAACAAACTTGTCACGAAAACGCGTTCGCGATACTCCCCCTCCTGATTCAAGCGATCCTCCAGTTTTCTCTAGCGATGATGACCCTTCAGTAGAGAAATACGCGCAAAAAAGACGAAAGCAAAAATTTAGAGGTCCATGGTTTGATCAACGACTTGCGTCCGACTCTGCCTTTGAGGACGAAACTCTAGATTGTGAGATTCCCATAAGAAATAAAAGAACGTTCAACAAGAAGGTTGATAGCGGTGTATTTATGGGTAGTGATGGTACGGACATAGAAGATATAATTATGGAGAAAGGAAAAAAGGCATGGCCGGTGAACAATGTTGCTGTGCCATCACCACTCAAATCAAGAATCACTCTTGACACTCCAAAGGATATTCACGCGCAGAGAAAGATTGAGAAATGTCTTGAAGACGGAGAGGAGTATATCGATCTATCGTAGGTGAAGCTTGGCATATCTTGGCTGTTCAGGCTAACTATAAATAGCCGTCTGGCTCTTGATCATCTTGAAAACTCTACCATACGTCCTTTAGGAACCTTCGTCAAGGCCGCGCGTGGTTATGCCGCTCTCGAGCCTTCGTTAAGGGTCATCCTCTCTGGGAACCTTCTCACCAAACTCCCGGCAGAATTATTTAATTTGAACAGATTAGTTTTCCTTAGTCTACGAGACAATAATTTACAAGAGATACCACCTGGCATCGGGATGCTGAAAGGTTTAGAAGACTTGAATGTTTCTCAAAACAGTTTGGGATACCTTCCTTACGAGATTCTTGCTCTTCTTGTGGGAGGAACGCTATATGATTTTCAATTACACCCGAATCCATTTTACTTGCCAATGGCGAGATCCAATAGCACTGAGAACGGCGCGACACCCCTTGAGATTGATCTCCAACGCAAATGGCCGCTGATTCGAGATCCACCACTACTCAATAATGAATTCATCGGTAGATTTCACCAAGGAAATGACGACATACCGAGACCAATACTCTCCGATCATGAAATGTCAGCTTTTTTCATGCAGAGAGGATATTCTAACAACGGCTCAACACAAACCACTTTGACTTCGGCTGGCCCAAGTAATCCAATCTCTGGCGAAAAATGTACTTTGTCCTACCAATTCAGAACAAAAGTCAGATTTCTCAGTACATTTGGGCAGTGTATAAAAGGGCCTGTGTTTCCATCAGATCCTCTTTGGAAAGACACTGGAAGGCACGTCCAACTGCCCGTTGCAAGTTCAGACGACATTCCGGAGCCTCCTGCGGTCCAGTCACGCGTTCCGACTCTGCTGGAAATAGCATTGCAATCTTGCAGTCGTCACCCTCAACTTCCACATCTCGAATCTTATATGAAATATCCTCCGCCCCAGATTCCCTCCTTGCTTCGCAGGGCGGAAAATGTCTGTTATTCTGGACCTACGCTATGCACTGTGTGTAAACGCAATTTCGTTGTTCCTCGAACGGAGTGGATAGAATGGTGGGAGATTGAAAAAGTATCCAAGAAGGATCGTCTGGAAACCACTTCAGCGGCCAGTGCTGCCAGTCCACTCAGACGTGTAGAGAATGAAAGGGACGTTGCGGAAAAGTTGGTACCGCTAATTCGAAGAGGTTGCAGTTGGTTATGTCTACCATCAATATTTGACCCATTATTGCTTCAGCTATCCACCAAAGAAGATGATGTCAAAAATGAGATGGACAGGGACACGGATATTTGATTCGAGTACGCTCGACGTTCGTTGGACGGCTATAGTAGCTGCTGGTTTGTACAAGTTGTATAGAAGTTACATATGGCGATAGGTGTAGCGTATGGCACAGCATTGGTTTCGTATTTGTATTTAGCGAGGCCTAGATCGAAGGCTTGATCTTAACAAGCATAGTCTTGTTAAGTATCTAATAATTGGAATTCAGCGTACATATCTTCTAAATGTATTCTTTTATGCATATCCATGTCGTCCAAATGACCTATCCACGATATCATGTGGCTGGTAAAGCATAGAGTCTTGTACTTCTTCAACATGGTCAATAAAGTGGAAGGGCTTTTCCAGAGAGAAGAACCGGAGAGTGCATATGAGGAAGCTACATAGGTTGGATGTTGAGGTTGTTGTAAGGGAGCTGGAATGGTTGTAATAATGAAACGGGATCTGGGAATTGGAACGAATTTGAAAGCGTTCTGAGGTCTCATATATACAAGAGTTCATTTGAGACTTGTTAAGATTATCATAACCTGTTGTTTGAATGTATCGTGGGTCGAGAGATACCTAGGTATGTGTTAAATCCATGAATTTTGTTCACAAACGCGTGATCAAAAAGCATTGACCATCTACTTGACTACACAGGTGGGATGACCAAACACAAGATGAAATACGTCGCTGTTAACTAAAACGTAGGCCAACCTAGGTACGATCAACGAGAGGTTTTTACATTAACATCCTCCATAATGTCTCTAACAAAGATTCTCGAGGTCCACCGGCCCGAACTATCGTCTTACGAAAAGCTATATAAACACTTTCACTTAAATCCAGAATTATCCAATCAAGAAGTAGAGACATCTGCTACCATTGTCAATCATCTACGCAAAATCTCGCCAGACTTTGACATTCACGCAAATATTGGAGGCCATGGAGTTGCCGCCGTTTTCCACAATGGTCTCGGTCCCACTGTGCTCTCACGCGCAGATATGGATGCACTTCCTATTGAAGAAAGAACTGGCCTCTCCTATGCCAGCACGAAGAGGGTTATTGACGTTCATGGACAAGAGCAGCCAGTAATGCATGCATGTGGTCACGATATGCATATTACCTGTCTGCTGGCATATGCTGAACTTATGGTCTCCGCCTGGCACCAATGGCAAGGTACCATTGTCCTCGTTTTTCAACCAGCTGAAGAACGCGGCACAGGTGCTCAAAGCATGGTCGACGACGGTCTGTACGATCCCAATCGACACAATATTCCCATCCCCGATGTAGTTTTCAGCGGACATGTCGTTGCCACCCGAGCCGGTGTTATTGGAATCCGCCCTGGTACGATGGCCAGCTCTTGCGATAATCTGCGCATCACGTTTCATGGTCGTGGCGGGCATGCATCCATGCCAGAGAGTCTCGTGGATCCCATTGTCATGGCATCTAGCGCCGTCATGAGGCTACAAACTCTTGTATCTCGGGAAATCCATCCCAGTGAGCATGCGGTCGTCACATGTGCGAGCTTCATTTCTGGGTCGACCACTGCGGAAAATGTCGTCAGCGACGATGCAACCATCACCATTGATATCCGTGCCAATGACGAAACTACGAGGCAGAAATTATACAACGGCGTTCTGCGAATTGTCAAAGCCGAAAGCGTAGCGTCCAATGCGGTCGCCGAACCTACCATCATTCCAACCCGATCGTTCCCCGTGACCATTAATGACGTTGTCGTTAACGAACGAGTTGGAAAAGCCTTCCACGATCATTTTGGCTCTGGCGACGAAATTTTTGTTGCAGACTACCCCAGGCTTAGTTTCAGCGAAGACTTTTGTATTCTTGCGTCTGCTATTGAGAGACCCTCACTCCTATTTGCCTATGGCTGTTCGGCGCCTGACAAAGTAGATAAGGCGCGAAAAGAAGGTACATTGACCGAGAGTATACCAGGCAATCACAGTTCCCTCTTTACCCCGCAAATTTTCCCTACAATGCAAGTAGGCATAGATGCGTATGCCTTGAGCGCTCTTTCTTGGTTACAAAGGATCAGATGAATTGAAATGGGCCTGTTATCAAGTAAACGATGGGGCCGTACCATTTCCCTTTTTTAGACCATGTTGACATCGTGCAGGGCTGCACGAACGCTGATATGCTTCATGCTGGTAAGTTGTCTATGCAGCTACCTGTGCTTTCATTTACATGTACTAGCATGCCTCCAGTTCTAAAAGATGCCAGTATCACGCAATTTTAGGGATTTCGGTGAAAACTGGGTGAGAATTCAAAGCTGCGTATGGCGTGTACAAAGCATTAGTCATGGCGGTTCCCTGTGCTGTGATAAATAACCCTCGGATGGTTGAACAACCTTTCCACAAAGCCTAAAAAAGCTTCCTGTGTCTTTAGCTCTCCTTTCTCTTCTCTGAAAATCTTTTGCCAATGAATATCAGAAATCTTCTTCCCGAGACAAAGTTCACGTCATCTAAATATCGAAATCATCGTCACGACGATTACGACTTCACTCAAGATTTGCTTAGTCCTGCTTTGAGTCTTAAATTAATCTTTTTTTATGAGAGAAGGTTTTGTGCGAGCATCTATGCTGACATTCACATTTCCATTTGCAGAAAATAACTACTGCGGAGATTCAAGTGTCCTCAATTTCTTCCATGCGACCATTGTTGCCACACTATCTATTCCCAATTGTCGCGATTTGATACAAGATGGGCAAAGTGAGTACAACTATCCGCCGAATCCAACGCGAAAATTAGATTGATGCTGTCGTCTATAACAAGTCCATCGCAAGACGCATGGATGAGAGGCATGCCATGTCTGAGATTATTCCAGCGTATTTCGATTCAAAATCAAGGAGCAACAGTAACAATAGTCGCAACCCAATCCTTCATACGATCATACCCATTCATATGACCCTCCACATAATACTGCTGAAACAACATATCCTCCGCCGCAGCCGCCCAATGCACCTTCACATAAACCCAAGCAAAATTTCTCACATCGTCATCATATCGTTCCCAACCCAGCGTGATCCAACCATTCTTAGCTTCCAGCACCAAACCCGAGAGACGAAATTCCGGAACGCGATCTTCGGCTCTAGCAGCGCTGCATAGTTCTACCGCATCATCAACTTCGAATGCTGTTCGTGTCCAATTTTTGCCTTCGTCGATGGATAGGTGTCCGTGCAGCATGTATCCCATTCCGATTTGAAGTTCGGCTTCGCCGCGTCCGAGGAAGACTTTTGATCCTATGGGCCAGTGGGGTACTTCGAATTTGTAGGCCCAGGTTTGTCCTTGGTGGACTGTGATTTTCTCCCCGTTGTAGGTGTCGATGAGGGTTGCGTTAATGACGACGGCGATGTTCGTATCGTCGTTTTTGTTGTATATGACATCGTCCATTTTGGATGTGGGGAGCTATGGACTGTAGGTTGTTTGATTTAGGAGGTCCGTTAGTTTTTATTTGTTGATGGGGTTGATGTGGTTAATGTGGTTGAGCAAGGTGATGGAAAGATTTAGATTTACGCGGCAACTCCGTTTGCCTCATTTTGTTTTGTTTATTTTGTTTGCGAAGATCTCGATAAAGATAAGAAGAATTCACTACTTTCTACTCTGAGCCGAAGTTGTCGCATATGGAAAAGTTTCCATGGTGAATCATCCTGAATTGGAACATTTGAGATGATTTACATGATGTTGATGATTCGCATAGTGCACAAATCCTGAAGTCGAGTGAGAAGGCCTATCCACATTCAAATAAAGATAAATGCCATTTCCTGAATGTTAATCACAATGGGCCACTCGAAGAAAGATTTTCCCATCTTTGTAATTATAAAAGGGCTCTCCATATCCTTCTTTACAATCTATCTATCATCATCCTTTCACCCACAACCAAACAAACATCCAAGTCTTTTCCAAATCCAAATAAACACACTATCAACCCAAATCCTTTTTCACACATACCATCCAAATATTTAAACATGGCCTCTCAAGTACCACCCGATGGTCCCGGCCGTGGTATAAGTCAACTATATCCAACCGCTCCAGTCTCAAGTATGAAATCACAAGCACCTCCCGCAGATGCTCCTGCACGAGGCGTGAGCCAGCTTTATCCATCCGGTAATCCTTCACAGGTGCAGATACTTGGAGCTCCTTCTAAGGTACCCTCAGCTGCTCCAAGGCAATCGCATCATCCATCGGTTAGACCTTTTCATGCTGCTACTCTCAGAGCTCCATCTCAGAGCCCACCCCATCATCCATCTACTAGACCTTCTCATGCTGCTACTCTCAGAGCTCCGACTCAAAGCCCATCTCATCATCCATCTATCACTCCTTCTCATGCTGCAGCTCTGAGAATCGCTTCTCAAGCCCCCCATTCCTACACATCAGCCCGTGGTATAAGTCAATATACCACCGCCGTTTCCAAGAAGTCAGGTCGTGAACCTTCCGCAATACCTATAATGAGTATGAGTACGAATGTCGGTGCCACAGAGCTTAAACGCGATGCTTCTATAAACTACTATCGCCAACCGACAATCATCTTACAGTCCCCATCTGATCAAAACACACAATACCAACGTGACACAGTCACCTTCATCCCACGCCAATCTGCTCAACCGACATTACTCCAACGAGATCATTCCAAGATCCCACCCGCAATTTCAGCAATAATGGAAGCCAGAATAACCCCCATCATCGGGCCCTCGAAGAAGTTCGAAAACCTACCAAGTGCACGAAGCATTCTCCACTCCAAAATCGATATCCAAATGGCCAGTCGTCAAAGCACCATCAACGAACTGCAAGGCGCCGAGCGCGCAGCACAGGATGAATGGGCTTTGGGTAAACTTGGGAAATTGAATACGGGATGTCCGCAAAACTATGGATGGTCCCGTCGAGGAGATGGCTATCTCTGTGATGGGGGAAGTCATTATATTACGGATAAATTGTTGTGTGAAGGGATGGGTGGCTTGTTTGTGGTGAAGGATAAAAATGATTGGCAGAATCGAAGTGAGGGCGTGTATTATTGGGCGGGTAAGAATGAACAGGGTAAGAATCTCTTCAAGAAGATTAAGTCGCCTGAGTTTGGGTAAGGTGCCAGGGGTGTATATATAGGTATCGATAAAATAGTTTGATCTGCATTGGGATTGTCGAGGTTTTCACCGTTGTTCCCTCTAACATGAAGTAAGTGGTGTGAGATGTAATATGAATATTGAAAGTCTCAATGATACTGTGTGATTCCTCGCCAAATTGGTCACAAGTGTCGACATTTTGTCATTTTGTCTACCGGTACCAGAATATTGAAAGATGTCTGACGCTCCTCCAACCCATCATGAATCCGATTTTTCGTCCGAGTTATAAAATTCGACCTGAACACTCTGAACCCCATATTGTTTCATCTCCACATTTTCTTCCTCCAGCTTTCGTACCTTGGTCTCGAGTCTCGCATTTTCCATCTTCAATCTGTCGACTTCTTCTTTCAGTGACGACTCGGCACTGCTCACCGCTGCTTTCCTCAAATGCACAAGTGTCGGCAAGTTTTTTTCGTTTGTTGTCGAAAGATCAGTTTTCGTTTCCAGTGGATCTACTCCATTCATCATCATTGTTGTGAAAATCCGTTCCAGTTCTTTCCCCAGTGCGTCTAGCTGATCATTAGATTCTTTGATTTCCTTCTGTAGCCCCAACATCTCTTCCTGCAGCGCTGGCATACTTTCTATTTTGACCTGTGCCATCCTCTTCCTCAAGTCTTGGATGGTGGTTGAAAACATGGTACTCAAGATTTCCCTGAACACTCGAAAATGATACGCGAGATCATGTCGAACTTCAGGTGACAGAGGTAGAGGATCTGAGATCTCGACTGAAGCTAGTTAGATCCATTGATAATGAGTTTTGAGCGCGACTCACCAGCATATTGACCTCTAATCACAGTCCCTTCAACACTAATACATTCCGCGCATTTCTCTCCTGGCCCTTCTTCGCCATCTTGATGACTGTCGTGCGGTAAAAATACCACATGTCCATATTTGGTGTAGAGACAACATCTACACTGACATTTCGCGGGCTGTGCAATATCGCATCTAGAAAAAGCGAGACATTTCTCCGAGAGTTTGACTATTCTGTGAGTAAGTGTGTTTCTCTGGCGTCACAGAAGTCCCAACAGCTTACGTTCAAGATCTCTGGATTCCTCACCAAGCTCGAGAGCAATGGGTATCGTCAGTTTCTAGGAATGACGTCAGTGTCATCACTTCAAACCAGGCTTAAAGGAAGTAATACTCACATTCTCAAAATCCTCATCCTTAATCTCAGCGATTTTCTGTCTTTTTGACGGAGGTTCCTCAAGGGGCTTGGGACTATCACACCTCAAATACATGTCGGACATCATAGAATTCTAAACTATATGATAACATGCAGAAGATCTTTCCTTTCCCTCCAGTCGTCAATCATCAGCAACAAATCCCAAAGAACTCTGAAAACATTATCAACTACACGTGCAGGTTTGCGGTTGCCTGATAAAAGTAACGTATGCAGTTTCGCGTTTGAAATCATGACATCCTCCAGATCTCTGCATGGAAGATCGGAGCACCAATCAGATACTGCCAAGAAGAGCCGAGTTGAGCCAGCCGCAAGCCCTTTGTGCTACGGTAAATGGGTCTGGACCCGGAATTTATGGGTTTCATATGCATCGTTTGTCAGCTTATTTGGTGCAAACGCTGAGGGATTCGCGGTAGTTTCGGTGTTGGATTATATGATTAGGTGTTTTCCATATTATATGTCATGTTTGATTGGTCTCATGCGGTTTTTACAACAATCCTGGATGTTCTTCAAGATCAATCTGTCACTTTCGACTTGCTTCAAAACCCCCAGACGGTAACCAATCACATCTCTAAAATTTTGCATCTAAGATTTCAGATTTTCCCCCTTGATGATCAAACTCTCGGTTTTTCTTACAGCAGTCCTTTTCACAGCTTCAGAATAGTCATGCTTGGTCCACGAGAGCCAACTCATATTGCCACATCCAAACTTTCAAGAATTAATCCGTCTCTTCGTCTATGTTCATCCCTGTCGTACTTTCTTTTATTGAGAGAGAAACTCAGATCTCTGGAAGAATTTTTGACTTTACTTCTTTCTCTGCACTGATTGAACTCCCTCTCGGAGCCTGAACTTCGGCAACATTGTAAGCACAGTCTCTAGCACAGCTACGAGACGCACGTTTTGCTGATTGACAGATCCGGTTCTGTTGATATATTCGCAGCTTTCTAGGGATTTCAAACCAATGACAGATTTCTGCTTTCCAAGAAATAATAAAAGAGGTATGAGAGTAAAGATGCGTGAATAGTCACAGTTGGATCTGCTTAGAAAAGTAAATATGGGGATTCGCGGGTAGCTACTTTAGATCCATGGAACTACAGTGCTTTGACTAAGAAAAAGAAAGATTGATCACACTGTATTATTTCAAGGGAGGAGCTGTAGCCTGTATACAGGATTCCGATCGAATTATAATCACAACTTTTCTTGAAACATATTTTGAGGCACAGTCTATATTTGCCTTCCGAATCGAATCTTTGGTATATGTTAAATCCACACTTACGCAACGGTATATTTTTCCGACAAGACAGAGGTTTTGAGGATGGCAAGAAGCAGTAGCACACAAATATGGGTCCCGGGTTCTCTAAAGGAGGATGGAGAGAAGAGGCTTGATGTTAAAAAGAAGAGGAAGTACAAATCACCACCGATGAAGAAGCCAAAGGTTGAGAGTGAAGATGAGTGTGACCACTTGGAAGAGGTAAGAACTTACATTGATGAATAAGTCAAGATGCTGAAACCTTGGTTCTCAGAAAGGAGAACCTCAAACCTTGAGTCTTCACTCGACACAAGCAGATGGATCGAAGTCTAAACGCAAAGCATTCATCGATAGTGACAGCGAAGATGATGTTCCTGATATTCCATCCAAGAAGACAAGATTCCCAGTTACAAGTATGAATCCAGATCGTGACATAAGCCAAGTCCGCCGCCGACAGTCCAGAAATCCCAAAAACGAAACTGTGTGCCGTAGCCAAACCATCTTCTAGTCCCCATAAGAACATACAACACCGAAGAGATTTACCGAAGAGACTCGTCAAGTTCAAAGCTGCAATCGAGAGCCTGTCCGACGATTGGGATGTGATTACGAGGGCACCAGAGGTTACCATGATTGATTCCTTGCATGAGAGTCTCAACCAAAGGGACGGCATTATCTGGCAGTTAAGAAAAGACATTGCCACCATTGATGCCTTACATAAGACAGTCAAAGAGAAAAATACCACTATCTCCCAATTGAAGGAACAGAACGCGAGGTTGAAACAAGATTTTGCACAACAGGTTGATGAGGTTCAAGCATTCGAGGAAGTGAAGAGTTTTATGAGGTCGACTTTGGGCCTCGAGGCATCGGGAACAAAGTGATTTAGCATCAAATTGCGTTACATGTTTGGTAGTGGGATAAGGGAAAAGTTAAGGATGTGTTGGCGCAATTGAAAAATCATACCATCGATGCCTCTTTCCTAACATAATTTGGACTGTTCCTTGCTGACTGTGAATGTGTTGGCGAAAGAACGATCGAGGATGGATCTCGATCTCGTAAATGTTTTGTTTGATGTTCTTGCCAGGTGGCTATTAAGAGCTACTTTGGATGCAAAGTTCTGTTTTTTTGTTCCTAGCTTTCCTATGAAAACTTCTGTGAGTTCTATGACGGCTTCTTTACATATAGCTAAGCTAGGCCCGGCCCGGCCAGGCGAGACTACAAAAAGCGGATAACTACGGATTCCGCAAGATTATATTAGAGTAGAGGTCTTAGAACACCTCTTAGTATGAAAGTATACTAAACGTTCTATTCTTTTTTGAGTTTTTGTATAAGAGAATAAAAGATAGATCAAAAAGCGAAAATTGATAAAAGAAGCTCTTTAATTTATTTGTTATATATGCTGTGATTTTATAGGGCCTTGTAGGCTATTTAAATAGTCTGAAGTTATTGACTACTTTCAAAAAAAAGGCTTGAAGGCTTGAAGCTATCGCCACTTTCGCTTAGATGGCCATTCAAAGCTTTAAAGAAAAATGAAGCTATCCCCACTTTCGCTTAGCTCAGCGACGATCTCCTGAAACTCTATTGAAAAGTTTTTAAGCTCTATTTAAGAACTTCAACTAGTTCCACTTGCATTCATTTTATCTGGAATATGATAACCAAATGATAAAACAAATCCATACTATTGAATATTATTCTGTATCAAATATAACTCATATGGAATCTGTTTTCATAAAAAAAGATCGATAAAAGAATGGTAAAGTAGAGAAAATAAAATCTAAGTAGCCCTTAGTAACTCTTTCCAGAATTGTAGTTTATATGGACAAACACCGCATAAATAGACCACATCTGCTCGCCGTGGAACCTAATTTATAGACAAACACACAAAAATATCATCAGCTACATTGTGAATGAACAGCAATGAATCTCACCAGTACAATGGCCTTGAATGGCTCATCACAAGATATCAAGACAATGAAGTCGAGGCTGTTAATCATGCAGACTGCTGTGATGGCTGCTGTTTACACATTTTCAGAGGATGATGTATTCGACAGATGCTTGAAACATTTGGCCAAACTGGAATGTTTGGAAGAGCGTTTCAGATACAGGACAGAAGACGGTTCGTATCTGCTTTTGTCAAGGTCCACCCGAAATTTTAAGAATTAACTATTCCAAAGTGACCTCAGACCAAGAGACCGTCCATCAATCCCAAATCCTCAAAGCCGAGTTCATAACAACAAAAAAGCTCGTCCAGAAAGCAGAAAAGGAACTCATAGCTTATGTGTTTACGATAGATCAACTGCAGGAGAGGGCGAAGAAGTGGAAGACTTGCAAGATGGAGGAGGCATTGAGACTTCATGTACAAAAAGTATATGAAGATGTGCGACGGTTGATGCCGAAACTCAAGCTGCTACACACTATGTGTCTAGAAATGGATGTGCGCATCGATCAATACGTGCACATCTCGCTCTGTAAAAGGGGATTGTAAATAGATCGCTGATGAGGTTCAAATTGTTGCGAAGGACAAGAATGAGATTGCTATGGTTTAGCAAGCAGGAGAGAAGCAGGAGAGGAGATTATTAGGAATGAAACACGGTTTCACACTTGCTCGCAGTTTCGTATATTTGCTCGCTGGATATACGACCCTAATATCATCCAGTGTGGACACTTTTACCTTCAGAGATAAATGCTTTTCACCAATGGCTATTCATAAAAAGGCTCCTTGCAGCCGCATATTTTCGGTATTCAGTCACTCCTAGCCCAACAACCCACTCGAGTGCAGGTCCAATCAGGGATCCAGCTTGAAGCCATCCTCCTCAACACACATAATTAAGAGCAAGTCATCCGCATCCTCAAGAATCTGAATAGTTATATGAGTGTACGTTCGCTACCAATATGACCTCGTAAACAGGAACTGTACGTGATTTTCCGGTAGTGACCGATTTTCCAGCACCTCCAAACTTTATCTCGCGGGTCAGATGCCATCAAGTGGTGTGCTCTGATAATACTAGTAGAGTAGAGTAATATGTTATCATGGTTGAAATGTATATTCTGTTGGTTTGTAGCCAGAAGATTCGGAACCGTATGGTTTGATGGCTGCGAGTTTTGAGCTTGAGCGTTGTCTTCCGCAGAAATCCATCTTGTCCAAGATGTGACGGTTAGGAAATGGGATACTTTTGCATCATCGTTCCAAGCCACCGAGTATCTCCCACAGAATGACAATATCGGGATACCTCTTGGATGATTCAGGCTCGTGTGAAGTATTCCCGTTGAAAGAGCCTTCCAGAAGAAAATGTTCCTCTATGGCCCCATTTCGGTTCTTCCGCAACTAATTGAGAGTTGTTTTCCTCAAAGAATCCTTGTTGCATCTCTCCGAAAATTCTCTGAAGAAAGCGCGAGAGATGAACGCGGTGGTTGAATCAATTGTGGAAATACTTAAGTATAACGTGGTTTATCAGTGCGTCGCACATATCAGTGCCTCACGCACTTTTTCACTATTTTGCAACTCTTCAATTCAACACACATTTAATCAACAATCAACAATAAATAACACTTCAAAAGAAGCTCGGATTATCTTAGCTATTGAAACTATTAATAAATCAAAAAAAATGAGTCGCCAGAGTACTGCTAAACTCTACAATATCCCTAAAACAACATTTCGGAATCGAATGAACAGTTTAATCCTGTTACAGGAATATCGATTATCAATTCAAAAATTAACTAAATTAGAAGAAGTGATTCTTCAATATATCCTCGATATGGATATACAAGGATTTGCCTCTCAATTGAATGGTATGGAAGATATGGTGAATAATATTCTCGATACTCATAGAGCACATTACATTGGAAAGCTTTGGGTATATCGATTCATATAATACCGGCTAGAATTAAAGATATGTTTTAATTATGTTTATGATTTCTAAAGAGTTTTTTGCAAAGATCCAAAGCTTATTGAAGAATGGTTTCAATTAGTATCGAATATATAAGTAAAATATAGTATTCTCGATTGCGATTTTTATAATTTCGATAAAACAGGCTTTATAATAGGTATTATATACCCTGGGATAATTATAATTAATACTGAACAATATAGCAGAAACAAAGCAATACAGTTAGGTAATCGAGAATAGACTATAGCGATTATATATATCAATAATATAAAAAAAAGCATTCCTTCATTTTTAATGATTAAAGATAAAAAATTACCTCTCAAGTTGATATACTAAAAGTGATCTCCTACTTGATTAGGTAATTAAAGTCACTAATAATAGATAAATAAACAATGAAACAGGTTTAGAATAGATTAAACACTTCGATAAGCATATTATTGCTCGAAAACAAAATGGTTATCGAATACTAGTATTAGACAGACATAAAAGCCACAAATCGATTGTATTTCAAGAATATTGCAAAGAACATAATATTATAACTCTTTCATTATCTTCTCATTCTTTGCATATTATTTAACCATTCGATATCAGATATTTTAGTGTTTTAAAACGAATATATGGCTAACAAATTGAGGGATATATTAAAGCTTATATTAACTATA